GGCATTGAAGTCTCCGAGGACCATTGTATATGTTGTCTTCTGTCACAGTGCGACCTCGAGTCCTTCATAGAAACGTTTATATTTGGTATAAATTCTTTAAAGCGGGATAACTTGCGGATCCATCGTCGCCAGAAACATCATCGTCCATGACAAATATTGACTGCAAAGGAGTTGAGGCCCTGCTCGGAATTAGGAATTGTCAACAGGAGCTGGGTTTATGGGAAGCGCCTCTATAAGTTCCCACGCTTAGCCTGACCTGGTGCTGAGAGGAAGACAGCACTTTTGAACGCCAAGTCTAGAACTCGGCCTAAATAAACCTATGCTGTCAAGCACCAGGTTTGCCGATCCAATCGTGCGTTTTTGCTCTAGATTTACAGCAGTCACGCCGTTAACAGCATAAACGGTAACTGCTTAAAGATTTAGCACGTGTTCACAAATTTTAGTGTTTTCTAACACGCAGAAGGGAAATAGTCTCTTAAGACGGTGTTATTACATCGTGGATCTGCATGCGTGGGCCTCTAGTGTGCACGAATATCAATTTTGCAAAAGGGCAGGTCGTTTTCCCTATGCGCGGTCGTCTTTCGGAAACCCAAATTTGACAAAGCGCAAGTTGTTGGAACTGGATTACAAATTTTGCAAAACACACTCGCTTTTGGAGTTGCGATAAAATTATTTTTATCCCTATGAAGGAATTTACTCTTTAGGCTGTATTTGGACCATACATGTGTGTAGAGTGTTCCTGCTAAATTTCAGCGTCGCAGCTTGCCCGACAAGCGAAATAGCCATTTCGTCACAAATATCTTTGAAATACCCTAAGTCGTAGCGCAAATTCAAATCAAAGTTCGTTCCAGATGTGCAATTTTCTTCATGAGCAATTAACATCCCGAGATAATTTCGATCACTGCCTTCCACCTAGTTTATCAGTTAGCACAGTACTAACTGCGAACTTTGACGTGATCGTACGCGCGGCCCAAACGTGCGCGATGGCTGAATTCGAAATCTTTTGCTCACATCTGGATAGGAAATGCCAGTGTGAATCTGTTTGTCGAAATCGTTTCCCCGCCATAAAATCTGCATATTTTTTCGGCGTAGGCATACGAGTTCCAGACACACTAGAGCGATGATCAGGTTAAGAGGATGAAAGGTATGCTGAAGGAATACGCTTGCAAAATTTCATTTGACCAGCTTTTCCGGTTACAAATTGAAAGTGAGCGACAATGTTTGCTCGTCCACACACACAGCACACACTACATGTCTTCGACAATATGTCTTTTTGCTCGCTATAGGAGCGCTGTAGCGCTGCCAAACAAAAACGCACAAACACTTCAACTTTAACTGAAAGTGTGTAATAGGTGACATAACACTGAAATTCATACCCAACATATACGCCGTGCGAAACTATGGAAAGGTTTTCACTTTTCATTACGAATGTGTTGTAATCAACCTGGAAGATCGGGTGTAAAGAATGTTTGACGTTTTATAAAACTATATGAGCGAAAAAAGAAGTAGCAAATGTATTATTGCTCTCTTTTTCACAAGTTCTAGTTAAAGTTAACTGATTTAGCAAAGGGCATAG